TCAATAGTTCTAAAACCCCTGCCACTTCCCTTGCTTTTAACCAGACTTTGCACCCACAAGCACCATCAGCCCATCTGTGCTCATGGATTTTGGTCTCTCCAGTGGGAAGCCCAGGGCCCGACTCCAGATGAGCTGTGACAGAACACCGAGGGCCCGAGACACACCAAACAGCACAGTGTAGTAGTTCATCTCCTTCATGCCATAGTACTGCAGAGAAGGTGGGGAAAAAAAAATAATGGTTAGAAGGCAAACCGAGCAATATTTCCACATACAACCAAACAAGAGGGAAGGCAGATTTCAAAAGCTTTTCCTCCTAATTAACTTAAATCTGGCTGGGATGTTGGTTCTGCTGCACGTCTTTCAGAGTCTCCTCATTTCTTTTCATGCCTAATCCCTGCTCAAAACAACATTAGTTCCCACTAGCCAAGTGTCTAATTCAAGTGAGCCTGTCCTTCTAAACTATATACGGTAATATGAAAGATGCAAATGCATCCCCCTACAGAGTGGATTTTGACAATTGGGCAGAAAAGGATTTTGGTCATTTTTATTTCATTATAGTCTGATTTTATTGGATAAGTTAGCACATCAATCTAAATGTACTAAGGAGGAAAATGACTTGCACATTTTCATGTTGCAAAAAACCCATCCATGAATTATTTCTGTGGCAGCATTTGGTTTAGTGGTTAAGGCACCAGGCAAGAAATCAGGAGGCTATGGTGCTTCAAACTCTTTAAATGTTGGAAATTAGCCATTAAGAAGGAAAAAAAGCAATGAAATAGGTAGAGTAAGCTAAATGCTGAGACAGTCTGACTAACATACACAAATTTCTCTCAACTGTGAGTGTTCACACTGGCTGAGGTTTCTTGATCAAATTGTCTTTGATTAATCAGTGGCCAAGAGGCCCTTCCAAACCATTAGCATAGAAGAATACCATAGCACCTTCTACAATATATTCTCTGAATATCATCCTTTGTGACCACAATTTCATCTAGCACAGCCATTCATTTTAGCTTGCACCTGAATGCATAAGCAAAGGTCTTCCACCCTATCCTTCAAGAAGGAAAGATATTAGAATTAGCAACTCACCTGTAGCAGGACTCCACTATGTGCATCCACGTTGGGCCAAGGATTCTTGGCCTTTCCCTGCTCCAGAAGCACATTAGGGACAATCTTGTATAACTGAGCTACTAGCTTGAAGAGAGGATCTTTGGGAAGATGCTTGAGAGCAAATTCTCTCTGGCAGGTGTAGCGCGGATCGGTCTTCCGCAGTACAGCATGTCCGTAGCCAGGAACCACCTACAATATGAATGTTGCTTAGAGCAGGGATCACCAACCTTTTAGACCTCAGGGAACACTACATTCATAATTTTAAATCCCGTGGACCACTAATATGAATTTTTTTAAAGGATAAATAGTATTTAGTGCAATATAAAAAATGCAAATAATTTATCTGTGGAGCACCAAAATTTTCTCGCGTACAGAACAATGCGGGGAGGCCGTGAACAACAGGTTCTTGTGCTTCCTTTCCAATGACTGATCACCAACGATCACAGCTCTACAGAAGACCTGAGTACTACTAGCACAACTCTTTCTTTGTTTTAGAAAGGATAAACCTATCTTTCTGTGGAATCATACCTCAGCTTCACCTTACAATGGTTCCTATGACTGAGTACTGAGTATACTGCTCCAATCAACAGTGGGAAGAAACAGCAGGGGAACATATTTCTAAATGAAATAACAAAATGCTGCCATCCATATATTTTAAAGAATGGCTGTGGGGCCTGGGGGTATTTTTAAATTGAGAATGCCAGAGTTGGCATTTGCAGAATGCTAGTCTGTCTGTCCATCCATTGCCTGCCTGCCATGAATCACAGAGGTGATTCACTGAAATATCTATTGGAATGAATACAGACTGATTAAATCATAACAGCTTGCTTGGTGTAAACATAGTCATGGAGTTTTCTACAAACCATATTAAAACAAGCCACGATTTTTAGTGCAAAGTCTGAATCCAGCTATTCCTTAAACTAGGGGCACTCATACCTCTATAATTTTGATTTCTTGTCCCAATAGCATATTTTAAAACATACCATAGAACACAGTTTGTTAGGACATATGTATATCATAATCAAGCCATCATATCTATCTATTTTAGCTCTCATTTTCTAATTGGCGTCTGGGAGAAAGATCTCATAGGGGTAAGTTGATGATGGTACCAGTTATTTCTTTCCCACCATCATCCCAAGTCTTTTTATCTGTCTAGATGGGAAACACAATATATGGGGAGTATACTCCCTTAAATTACAAAGGTGAATTATGCAAAATTTAAATGTTTCTAATGTATAACCCATGTCCTACTATTCTGCCTTGGGAAATTAAAGTTTTTCAGTTATGGTCTACTAATTTTCTGGCTCAACCACTACCTTTTTGTGGTATCCCTGTTGAATTTGCCTGGACAATTCAGCCAGATAAAGCAATTCTGCTCCATCTTGTACAGCAGAAGCTCATATTATTGGTCTGTATTTATCGGCTGCCTAGGAATGCTGCAAATTAGAACCCACCACATCTGGACAGTTAGGGGCACTAGTTTAGAAGTGATCAGCTCTGCCCAAATTTGTATACACTGACTGGTAGCAATTCTCCAACATCTCAAGCAGAGAAGCGTTTTCCCCTAGTTAACCACTGCACTTACCCTGCCGGAGTTCAAAGTGTTCCAAATGAAGTCCCTCAGTTTTTCATCAGATACATCCTCACCCAGTTCCTTCTGTAGGTTTGTCAACCACACCAGCACTTCCTGTATCAAAAGTAGTGAGATTTGATGACATTGTAAGAAAAGAAAAAAAGTAGCAGCAGCTCCTCAAAAGCTCTGCCCACAGTGCAAAGTTAACTAAGGCTTTTGGATCACATGTCTCTTACCTGATTTGCGAGACCGTGGAGAGGCCCAGCCAGGCCATTCATAGCTGCAGCAAAAGCTAGGTAAGGGTCAGAGAGAGCGCTGCCCACAAGATGACTAGTGTGAGCGCTGACATTGCCACCCTCATGGTCACTGCAAAAGGAAAGGAGAGAGGGGAGGAGAGAGAGAGTTATCGGCATTTTGGGCTAGCCAGCTTACAGCTGTTATCTACAGAGGTGGAAAGAATTTGGCCAAGTATAAAAAAATAAATATTCACCAACATCTCCCCCCTGAAGAATACTTGAAGTGGAGAACTGAAGCCGGCTTTTAGTCATTGGTCAATTCTTGGGGCAAAATTGCTTTTAATTAATTCAGTTTTGGCAGCACCCAATTCCAGACAGACTCTGTTAAGCCTGGGTTGCACTTCAAAAAACGTAAGTGAGGCCAACATAAAAAAACAATCACTCAATTTAATTAAATTTAAATGACGAACACTACATGGACATGCTGTAAAATAGGAAAAATTAGGGGGGAAATATTCCCCTCAGGGTTTTGCTTTTCTTAAAATTGATTTTTAATAATTAAAAGAAAAGTGTAATAAAATATTTTTCTTTAGAATAGTGAATGCAGAAAGGCAAGACATCTATACACTGCTATTCTTTATTCATTTTTTTTCTATTACAGCTAGTCCTAGTGGTCCCTATCAGGCCACCCTCTGTAGTTTCTGTCAGCCCACCTGCCTTCAACCCATGCTCCTTAGCACACATCTTCAGCATTAACTCACCTGCCCATAGCTCTCACCCACTGACCTGCTTTCCCAGGACTCCAGTCGTATGAGGTCCTCTCTTAATGGTGCACCCAGCCTCTGGGTTAAAACGCCAACGAAGATGAATGGAATTGCTGTTGCTAAGGGATGCCATGCTTTACCACTACACTGCTTTGTGACAGAAATTCCAGCCCTAATTGCCATCATACCCACAAAGACTATCTGTATTTCATTATAGGAAGTCTTTTATTAAGAATATCAGAACTTGACAGTACTTAGAGAACTAGCACTGCAGGAGAATTTTCCAAGGCAATAGCCAAATACTATCCTGTGTCCTGGAGGTAGGCATCACCATTTTCAGCCCTTAAAAAAATCAGTGTTTGATTTGCTTGAGGGCTTATCCAGTGCTAAATTTTGATCTGGATGTCAGTGGATCTGCTTTGATGAGGCTTTCAAGAACAGAAGAAGCCCAAAGAAATGCCAAAAGAAAATGTTTAACACACTTTAAAGTAAATTCAATCAAACTATCAGACTAAATTAGAATTTTACAGGTAGTAAATGTACCCCATATGGTTAAATGTATTAATAAACCAAAGTATACATATTATGTTATGTTCTTAAAATACTAAAGTAGATTACCAAAGTAGATTTAGTTCAGTAAAAGATGGTATAAAAATAAAAAATGCATATTTTTGTTCCCTCCTTCCCTTCAAAAAAGGGAATGGGAGGCTGTCGTCCCCCCCCCCCCCCCCCCCCGCTGTAAACTTTTTGGAATGTTTCCCTCTCTCATGTGCCATGTAGTCAGTAGGATCTGAGTTCATCTTAGGGCTTTTTATTTTAAATTGCACCAACAATTATTATTTGTGATAACTTTTGGAGGAATTTTGAATTTGCATTCAAATTTTGACATAAAGACTCTAAACTGTCTATCTTTATTCTAAATTATATGAATGCCTTTACAATGTTAATGCAATCCTTCTTTGCAATCCTACAATACTGCAGACTTTAGTTTTTAAAAAGCAAGCATGACACAGCATTCCTTTACTGACTGTCTGACAAAATTAACTAGGAATTATAGGAAAAAATATAGTGACAAGACCCACGTGTACAGAGAAGTCCCATAAAAGCTGCTTAAAAATTAGATGTATCAGGATGCAAAACCAGATGACCTATACACACATCTGATGTCAGGACTAGAATGCAAAGCTAGGATTTGTGCCATGGCACACTTCAAGCTTTTTTCATCATGGTCGTTTGTACCAGACATATACGAATGTATAAGAATATTCAAACATTTGTATTAGGCAATTTTCTGTTGAAAAAAATGTTCTTTGCCACTAGGTGGAGTTATTCATTAACATCAGCAGCTTCAGCAAGTTTATTTAGATCAATATTGTTGACAGTCTAAGCAACTGTAACTTCCAGAGCTCCTGACTAACTCAAGAGCTCTTAAAGAGTGAAACTATGTAGTGAACTGAAGTCAGGAGCTTATGCTACCATTGAAATCAGACAGTTAAATATTATGCCTTTGGCTAACAATGTCCTCAAAGACACTGAAACACCTTCAAACATCATGCAAAATTATAATGTGGATTATTCGATTTTGGCTTCCTTTTGTGGTTCATAAATCAAAATGTATGGCTTACTTGACAAACCATAATTAAGTGACCATAACAAGAATATATGAACCCAACCATGTTACTCCTCACTTACTGACAACAATTGGGGCTGGCAACTATCTCTAAGTGATGCAGTTATTAAGTGAAACATCATGTGACCTATGACAGTTCCACTGTAGTTATTAAGAATACCACAGCTTGTCATTAAGTCCAGCATCGCATGACTGCAATTTGTGACTTCCTGCTGACTTGCTCACTGACTTTACTTGGAGGAATCCAATTTGTGAAGATCACAAATAGCAATCATGATTGTGAGATGCTGTGACTGTTGTAAATGTACGCTGGTTGCAAAACACCTCAATTGTGACCACTGGGACACTGCAAGAGCCACAAATCTAAGAACCAGTTGTAAACCTACCTTTTCAGTGCCATCATAACTTTGGTTGCTGAACAAGACAGTCAGTAAGTGAGGATTATCTGTATTTTCATCCACGACTTAAATCTGCTGATACTTCTATACCTCCAAATTTAACCACACTGGAAGTAGCCACTGGAAAAATGTGGATTACTCCTGTAACAGCTCATACAATACCCAGAACTGCAACTGCAGCCTCTCTCTGCAATTTTGGGTAGTGATTTCACCCACTTTCCTGGAGCTTTTTTTTTTTTTTTACAATTATCAACCCCCTCCCCCCCCCCCCCCCCCCCCCCAAAAAAAAAGAAAAAGAAAAAAAGAGCTCTATCTTTCTCCACTGCTCAATTCAGCCTGTAGCTGTAGATGTACCCAGAGGATCCAGGACTTTCATATAGGCATGGCTTACCTGTGAATCGTGAGGTAGAGCCGCATAAGTTCAATAAATTGGGGGTCAGTGTAGCCCAGCATGTTGGTGAAGTTGTATGACCAGTCTAAGGCGGGATCAATGGCGCCAATGCTGCTACCCTCACGGTAGAGATTGCGATAGATCTTTGCAGCAATACAAGGCAACTTGGCAATCAAGTCCATTGAGTCTTCATAGATGAACTACAAGGCAAAACAAGAAAAGAGGAGGATTGGGAAGACTTGCTTACAAGGCTATTCTCCCAGCAGCACGTGATCTGCGAAGCAGACCCCCCACTGCGGAAGTTTCAGTTAAGGCAAGCTCATATGCAGTTTTAAAGATATTCTTCGTCTAAGAATATATGCCTCTTGTAAGGCTTTAAAGATTGATTTTCCTCCTGGAGCTTTGGAAAAAGATTAGATGACCTGTCCCCCCCACACCCCCACAATCTTTGGAAAAAGACCTAGTTTCCCCCCCGAAGCTTTGGAAAAAGATTAGATGATGGCACATTAGCAGAGTTTGGCTCTGGGTTTTTCTTGTTTTTCATGTATTACGTTGTAACTGGCTGTGTTCTTTAGTTTTTATCATGTTTTTATATGTTTTTTAATCTTTGATTGGGAGCTGCCCAGAGTTGGCTAAATATAGCTATATAAATGCTTTAAACAAATAAATAAATAAGCAGGTCTTCCCTGCTGGAATTGTTAAGACCATTATAAGATTATCGTTAAGGGGCTGGAAAGCTCTTGTCTCTTACTTGCTTAAGTACCTGAATTTGCTAATAAATACTACTACCAAGAGCCTTCGTAAAGACTAAAGAAGAAACACCCATGGTAAAGGGGATGGGTAGCAGTGAGTACCACTGCTACCCGTCATCTCCTGGATTTGTTTTGCATTCCCCATTTGGACTTTCGGTCCTTATTCCTACTCAGCATTATTGAGTAGTCTGGTGGGATAAACGTGCCAATCCTCCTGATCTTCTGCTGGTTGGCACATTCCATCTGCCCACTGCAAATTGGAGGACACACCCAGAACTGAAAAATCACTTGCAATATTATCTGAACGCATCTCTCTCTCTCTCTCTTTCCAAAGCAGGATTTCACATCCCAGCTGTATGTTTTGCAACTGTGGCATCACACAAGTGCCGGGTTACTTCTTACAGCAGCTGACCCGATAAAGAGGTCACAATGCTAAATCTGATCAAATCTGTTCAAAATCTGATCATATGGGAAGGGCACATGGGGAGGACATTATAGCAACCACGAAGCCAAAGCATAACTCAGCAAAATGAATGTTGCCATTCCTGTACTCCTGGGATCTATTTTCTAAAGTGCCTGTAGGCGAGACAAGGAATAATGGATGGAAACTGAATAAGGAGAGATTCAACCTGGAAATAAGGAGAAACTTTCTGACAGTGAGAACAAACAATCAATGGAACAACTTGCCCTCAGAAGTTGTGGGAGCGCCATCACTTGAGACCTTCAAGAAGAGATTGGATTGCCATTTGTCAGAAATGGTGTAGGGTCTCCTGCTTGGGCGGGGGGTTGGAATAGATGACCTATAAGGTCCCTTCCAACTCTGATTGTCTGTTAATCTGTTATTATAACATTCGAAAAGGAAGGATAACTAAAGGGCCTGGCAGGAGGAAATTAAATTAAAAAAAATAGTTTAAGGTAAGGGAAGAGAAAAGAGCAGACACATAACAGAGTGTGAACAGCTCAGAGAAACTCTATCAAACATGGGACTGACAAGGAAGCAGCAGAACAGTCAAGGCAATTCATAGGTTGGATGGAAAACAGAGAACAAGTGGACAGGAGGGCATTATTTAAGAAATTAAAAAAACACACCAGAATCTAGGATCAGATTCCAGCTATTTTCATTTTTGTTGCTCTGCAGAGATTTAGATAAAGAGCACTTTTGAAACAGTAACTTATCACCACCTCTAACATAATGCAGCTGGCAATGAATATGTGGTTTAAATATTTTGCAGGACTCAATATTGACAGGAGTTGAAAAAAATGGCAAAACGGAATGCCAACGGAAGCGTTTATACTAGCAATCAAATGGCCAGTACTGATTACCTAAAAAAGGCTCTGTCAAAAATATGAGAATTCTGTATACAAACAAACTTAAAATGCAAAAAGATGCTGTGAGAGGGTACACATGTACCATCTCTTAAGACAATTCTGCCTTTCTGAGGATCATGCTTCAACTGCAGAAGGCACCTGGGCAATTCCAGGGAGACAGTTGCAGAAAGCTGCTATAGGAATAATCACATCTATTTCGAGTGTCTTTTTGCCCTCAAATTGGAAGAACGATCCATTTCCCTTCTAGCTGCAGGAACAGGAAGTCATTTCAGAGCATGTTTCAACATAAGAGTTGGGGAACCTCCAATCAATGGACCTAATCCAGCAAACCTGATTGGCCCGTTCATCCAGTGAGCATTTTAGAAGCAGCCCTACTCAAGTCTGCCCACATCTCTGATATCTTTCTCCACATCATTCTTTTCTCCACAATTGCAGAAGATGTGAACTAGTCAAGTAATTTGGAGCCACAATGAGAAATAGCTGAAAGATGATGAGCCTACATGTTCTCTCTCGGTTAGTCTATCACTGATGGGGAAGACTTGAGGGAGCTCAGCTTCCAGTTGGCATTCCTGCAAGGTGGTGGTATCAGCTGTCCCTCATAGGATGAAGTTAGGAGTACAGGTAGTCCTCGACTTATGATCATAATTGAGCCCAGCTTTTTTTTTTTTTTTGCTAAATGAGACATTTGTTAAGTGATTTTTGCTCTGTTTTATGAGCTTTCTTGCCAGGGTTGTTAAGTGAATCATTGCAGGTATTACATTAGTAACACGGCTGTTAAATAAGTCTGGCTTTCCCCATTGACTTCACTTGTCAGAAGGTCGCACAATGAGATCCCATGACCACTGCAATCATCATAAATATGAGTCAGTTACCAAGCGTTTGAATTTTGATCACATGGGGCTGCTGCAATGGTCGTATGTTTGAAAAACAGTGCTTGGTCACTTTTTGCACTTTTTGCTATTGTAACTTCAAACAACCACTGAATGAACTGTTGTATGTCGAGGACTACCTGTACCAATTTTACATTCTACGGCAACTGGTTTTGTTTTTGCAGAGTGAACGCTCTGGGAAGGAAGTTATTCACTGACCAAGCAGCTGCTAAATCTGGTTGCTGTGTCCTTCATGCAGCTGTTTTCTATGAGAAGGAGGTGCAGGAATCTTTCTTTCTTTCTTTCTTTCTTTCTTTCTTTCTTTCTTTCTTTCTTCTCTCTTTCTCTCTCTCCTCTCTCTCTCTTTCTGGCAGGAGTGTCAAACCCATGTCATTACGTCATCATCATGTGACATATCAGGACTTTTTTCCCCTTCAGTAAACCAGGCATAGGTGTGGCCAGCGCGTGGCGCATCTGGCCCACAAGACGGAAGTTTGACAGCCCTGCTCTATGGAAAACTGACAAGGCAGAGAAGGGAAACGGAGTGCATCCTGAAAGTCCACAGGATCTCATTCTTCACCTCACTTCAAGACAAGACATCATCAATGGCAAGGACAGAACCAAAATAGTTTCTTTGGAAAGAAATTATTCTCTTCTGACAAGACTCCTCAGTTTCAAACCTCAGTATGCTGGAAAGATTACAGTTAATGGGCAGCCAAAGCAAATTTAGCACCGTCTCCCCACCCCCTGCCATTTGCAAATCAGACAGCAACAACTCATGGCAGATAAAAGATCTATACAGCCAGGCCAAAGTCTCCTTGCTTCAGTTCAGAGGGTGTGTGCGCACACACAGTGTAAGTCAGGTCAGAGCACATGTCATTACGCTCAAGGTCTCATATTACCAGGACAGTCAGGGTCGGAGCCCAGAGATTGAGAACCAAGGTCACATGCTATGC